CCTATATGCAAAAGAAGACATGAGAGATGCAGCGCATGGCATAAAGTACTTGCACGATAATGGAGTGTTACATCGCGACATCAAACCGGACAATATCCTCATCTTTTCGTTTGAAGACAACATCGTCGCAAATAGCAAATTGACTGATTTTGGTAGTTCGAGAAACATCAATTTGATGTTAACTAATATGACATTCACAAGTGGTATAGGCACACCAGTGTATATGGCACCAGAAGTGATGTTCAGAAAACATTACAAGAAGCCTGCAGACATTTATTCGTTTGGAATAACACTCTTGGAATGCTTCAAATGGAAAGAGGCGTATGGTGGTGAGAATTTTCGATACCCATGGGGTATCGTCGACTTCATTACAAAGGGAAAACGACTCGAAAAACCCGAGAACGTGACAGAGAAAGTATTTGAACTTATTAAAAAGTGTTGGTGTGAAGAGCCAAAAGATCGAATCAGTATCGATGAAATACTCGATGAATTCGAGAACATGTAATAACACGATTGTTTATGTTGTATTGTGTAACTTATAGATTATTTACTATCGTAAATAAATTAAATAAAATACAAATTATAATTAATTATATTTATCTATAATATTTTAAAATACTTCAAATAAAAATCATTAAATTTTATTTATGTAATATTTTTCTAATTCATAAGAAAATTTATTTTTTCATTATGTTTATTTTGTGTCATTTTTTAAACTAAAAAAAACTATATTAAACTATAATAAAACCATATTTTCGACAGTAGTATCTCGTTTGAAATAACATTGTTTGATAATATGGGTTGAAAACTGAAACATAATTAAATTATAATTGTTGTTTTTAATTATTATAATTAACTATTTGTACTCAATTTTTGGAAACGAAACGAATTATCGGCAAACATCACTTTGTAATACCACAAAGTCGTTTTTCTTCACAATAAAAAATATTTTTCACAACCCCTTCAAAAAAAATAAAAACACCTTTACATTTATTAGGCATGATAACCCGATATTTTAGTCGATACGGTGTCTTAACCCCCCATCCGAATATTGTTTTTTTGTTTGGTATGACAGGTGTTGTTTTAATAACTTGTGATAATTACGAAAATATAGAAGTGAGTTTATCGCAAAAAAACGGGCTGAAAATTTTTTTGTTCTTTTTTGAAAGAACAAAAAGAAAACAGTAAAGATTTTATTGTCATATTAAATTATTAGTTTATAATATTTTTATTATATAGAGCTTAAAACAATTTTATACTCAAAATACCCAATTAAAAAAAGAAATAAACAACAAAAAAGACCGAAAAGATTTATTTAGTAAGCAAAATATAATTGACAAGAAGTATAACGCAATGCAATGTCTATTTTTTTAAACTGAACATGACATAATCTTTTTAAAAGACGATGTTCCTTTTTTGTCTGTTGCTTGTCTTAGTTTCTTCAAAACGTCTTAACACAACACTTTCGATCGACAGCCCTTGCCTTGTTTGTTCTTAGACTTACACACAAACATCCAATACAATGTGGATAAATGAAATGACAGATAGACAGACCTTCGTGCAGAAAGTTTGAAGTATATAGGGAAAAAGGGTCCAGCAGGTAGAAAGGCTTTTATATATAAGAGGTGTTATGAGAACGTACCTGATAAAGACTATAGACTGATTTCATTATCAACACATTCAGGGTGTTACATATCACATCAATCCTTTTATCAAGTTGTTGGTAACATAAGCATCCCAAGGTGTGGGTCGTGTATGGAGATCATAGGACCTTCATTGAAGAGTGCTACATGCACTGTCATTGGTTCTTTTGCAATGATTTTCGATGACAACGCCACCAAAGTAGCTGACTACAATTCGTATGTGAGAACTTTCTTTGTTGATGACCAGTTATATCAATACTATTCAGGCTTAAAGAATGAAGATACATTAGGAGATGCTATTCCTGTCGTCTCAAGAACAGTTGATTGTCCATATAAAGCTTTTCCGAGTGCTATAATTACAGACTTTGTGACTGACCCAACAACCCAAATACAATACGCACATTTCATGTTATACAACACAAACCAAGTCATTGCAAAAATCATGTTAAACAACTGGAATTTTTTTATCAACGACACAACAATGAAATACACAATCCCCGTAATAAAAAGTGACACCAAGTTGTATTTGAAAATATACGACTTGTTTTATGGGCACTTTAATATTCAATTTTCGTATATCCAAGGCGTTGATTTCGTTTCAAATTCGATGACTCAAAATCACTTCAAAATTCAAAACTGTTATTTGAGACTCAACAAAGGATTCAGATACAAAGTG